TTTTTTTTGCCATCCAATTTTTTTCGCCGTGTTGGGACATTTCAAAATGCTACTTACTATATGTAGGTGCGGCGATTTTGCCCCTGAAACATGGCGAGGGTCGATGAATTTCGAGATACCATAACGACATCTGAATCTTTTTTTTTTTGTTTCAGTGATGCTAGTATAGCGCTGGTTGCGTTTCTGTTGATCACAGCGAAGTTGCTGCGTACCCGCTTATTTTAGGATACGGAGAAGAAGCTAGGAAGCAGTTATCGCATATTTTAATGATTAGTTATTGTTGTTGTTGTTTTTAATTCTTTGAAAAAACAAGCCTATTTTACTGGCACTTATTGTTTGTATGCTGATTTGTATTACATATGTATGTACAGAATGCAGTTTCACAGCAGTGTCACTTCTCCGAGCATTTCGATTGCACTCGCTGGATCATCATCCTCTTCTTCAGTCCCGTCACTGTCATCAACATCATCCGCCCCGGATTTGTTCACAGCTGAATTTTCATCTTTTTTGTGTTCCCTGAAAGCAGCAGCATCGCATTCGCTTCTAAATTCACTCGCTCCCAAAGTACCACCGTCGCCATCCGCATACACAGCAACATGTCGGCCATTCCTCAATGTGCTTTCCTTGTCGCCGGTTTCCTTTTCCTTGCCAGCATCACTACCCCTCGTGACTCTTTGTTCTTTTAATCCGTTATGCTGCTCACTTATTATTCTCTGAAAGTTAAATTTATCAATTTCTTGAACTGAATTATACAATAAAAACAATTCTCATGACCGGTGGCTCCCACAAAATCAAACTTTAGCTTGGGAAGGGGTTGCAGCAGCTTTACCCAGTACGTACCGGGGCTTATCTCCTTACAACTTTGAGCAGACTCGAACTTGTCTCGCAGAGTTTGTGCGGAACAGTTCAAAAATACGTTACTGGAACGGAGGACCAGGAGCTGCAAATGAAGATAACGTTGTGCAACACCCAGAAATCCTTACAAATACTTTTGGACGGTCAAAGTGTGCTGTCGAGGAAAACTTCATTACACACTGCGCCTTAGTACTCAATTACTCCTTGACCTGGTCCACAGCGACCTGCGAGTTTATGGGGAAGGGGGCACGGGGTTAAAGGTTGTAAGGATTTCAGGCATACCAAACTTAACACCAATGTACGTGACTTCTTATCAAACATCAGCAGCTGTTGTTCACTACTGAGAAATGCCACCTTCAGTCCTGTATCTTCCAGAATATTGGAAAAAAGGAAGTTCTGCGATATCTTAAGTAACATGAGTGGAAATAGTCAATGTGGGAGATTCGACAACGGTCATTCCGTTTTACGCATCAATGCTTCAGCTTCTTGGAGATAAGTTACCCAGCAGTAATTCCTGCGCTGATTAGTGAGATAAGAAGACGTGTTTTTTAGATAAAGTATAAGGAAATTTAAGCAGTGGTGAAATAGCCAGCTTATCAAAGCCTGGGGAGCGTTTCCCTCACAATTCAGTCGACACAGCGCTGGATAAATAATTAACTGAAAAAATACTGGACTTGTTTTGCTTTGCAAACGTAGCGAAGGAAGATAACTGGACATTCATCTGCGTCTGACAGATGTTTGCACTTCAACAACCTCAAAAGTTCCGTACTGGACCTGTCAACTACGGCCGGTAATGGAACGCTTGAACAAAGCTGCTGTGCTAATTATAGTAGTGTATGAGAACACATTTTGAAAACTAACGAATGGTATTTGTCTTCTTAGATTTGTTTTTTTCGTCGTAACATGTTTGCTGCAGCTATTCCTCATCAGTTCGTAAACTTCCTTACGCAACTCCGACTGGCACGATAAATAGATGGGCAGACGACTGGCGCTAGCCAAATTTGTAAGCAGTGATATGACATCCAACGCCACGGCATAGTAGCTGAAATCAGTTTTTGTTACGCAAGGAAAACGCTCCAGGTCTTCTACAACATACATTCTCACACTAGGAGATAACGGGATTGTCAGCAGGTAACCACCAAGCAATGGCACTGATCAAGGCAACAGCATTTGTTGGCGAATTGCCGTGAGCTGAATCTGGTCAAAACATACGGTGCTGCTGGTGGCAAACGATTCGGAGCTAGCGAAGCTCGTGATTTAACGAAAA